CTGGGCTCAGGCCCGGAGCTGGAGGGAACCTGCCCCCCCCTCCATCCACAGTGTGCTGTGGGTCACCCGTGTCCGGGGACTGCCAACCCCTGTCCTGCTGCCACCCATCCTGGTGCCACCTGTCTCTGTCCCCCGTCTCCCCACCGTGTCCTGGTCCAGTGGGAGCACCATGGCTGTGGGCAGGGAAGTGTCTCGCTGCCGGAAAGCTGTTCCGAAACGGCCGGATGTGGAACGCTGACCAAGTCTGTTTAGCAACGCTTGGGCCGTGGCAGGGCCTTGTCGCCTGCAACGCTCACCGGGAAGCCGCGGCAGCTCACGTGCCCTTGTCTAAGCAGGAAGCTGTGCATTTGGGATTGTCCTGCGCCGGGTAGGACCGAGTCCCCCTGAGGCCTCTCCTTCCTCTGCAGGTGTCAATGCAGTACAACCCTGGCTGGAACAACTCCTCTGTCAACCTGCTCCACGTGCGGGCGGTGGGGCCCAGTGACACCCTGCACTACATCTGGAGCAGTATTGGGGCCCCCACGGTGCTACTGGTGGCTACGGAGAACACGAGCAGCGCCCTGTGCGTCAACTGGACGCAGCTGCTCTCGCCCGCTCCTGCGGGTGCCATCTGGATCGACCCTCCCAGCAGTGTTGTCTACTCCACTGCTGTTGTCTTCACCAAGGTACCACTGAGGAAGGTGGCCCTGCGCCGGGAGAGCCCCCCTATGGTGGAGGGGGTGCGGGGGGGCTGCTTGGGGCAGAGCAGGTCGGTCAGCAGCTTTCCCAGCTGCAGCGAAACGGCCCCTTGTGCGTCCTACCCTGGTTGTCTCTGGCTTGAGCTGTGATGGTGTCTTGATGGGCCAAGGCAGCTCCTTTTTGGTCTCCTTCCCCTCCCGGGTGGCAGTGGCAGCCCAATGCACGGCAGCCCGTGGACTGTAGCACAAAGCGTCAGTGTCTGCAGCACCTGCTGGTGGCTCCCAGCGCCTCTCCCCTTCCTTCTCCTTAGGTGTTTGAGTACAGTGAGGCCAAAACGCTGGAAGAGTTCTTCTACCCCACGTACGACCTGTCTGAGTTTTCCTGGGACAGCATCAATCACACCCTGAACCACACAGCCCTGACGGCCGAGTTCACGGGCATTCCGGCCACTGACCCCAGTGGCAGCTTCTCCAACGGCAGCCTGGCGTTTCGGGTAAGTCCACAGGGGCAGCGAGGGGGTATTTAACTGCACTGGGATGCTATAGGGAGAACACAGCGAATATCAGGCCCAAAACACCTTCTGGAGAAGGAATGTTGCTCCTTGGTTTCCTACCTGGTGATCATACTGTTCCTCTGACCTGTGTCCCCTGCAGGTGACAGCGTACAAGGCCAGTGGCCGTGACGGGCCTCTGCCCAGCCTCCTGCACACGGCAAACAGCTCTAAAGTAGAGTTTGTCCTGGCTGGGGTGGCTCCACGGGGCAACAACTCCCAGTTTGTGCTGGAGGTGGCCACGGTGGAGGAGACAGGGGTGGCGCAGAAGGTGCGCTCGGTGCGCTCTATCGACGATGAGTACACTCCCACCATCTTCGAGGTGAGTGTGGGGTGACCACTGGGCTTGGGGATGTCCCCTGCTGCGGGAACGAGGGTGAGGGGCATCTGGGGCAAGCAGCCTAGGCAACCTGCGGCTCCCTACTGTGGCCACCCTGGCATGAAGGCCGTCTCCTGCCATCACTTCACTGCCCGTTGCTCTCCCTTCACCAGATGCTCTCCCTAGTAGCCGAGTCCCAAAATGACAGCTCCACGCTCAGCTTCCTGCAGTGGAAGGCAACAGCCTACGGCTCCCCGTTTTTGGCCAGCATCCAGTGCCGGTCTCGTGGCCTGCAAGCAGCCAACTGGACCCTGCCCGTGCCCAGCATTGTCCATGCCTACTTTGGGGAGGATGTAGGCAGCACCTACACCATCAGCGCCATCAATATCTCTTTTGGGGGAGAGGATGGAAAGGTTTACCAGGAGAAGCGCTACCTTAGCTGGTGAGTGGGGTCCATTTTGCATGAAATGATGCCCTCCCAGCCACTAATAACTTGCACTTTGGGGAACTGCTAGGTTACGGGATTTCTCTGTTTAATAACTATCTCCTTTCAAAAGTCTGTGTTTTCCTATGATCCTGTAGCAGTTTATTAATATATTCCCTCACTCCTACCCCCAGTCTGGGAAACGCTCTCCTGCCCCGTGTGGGCTCCTGCCAAGAAATCTTGATCTGACCCTATCAGGGTGGAAAGACCCAGATATTCCACCCGTCGGACAAAGCTGATCCCCATGTCCGTGGCTGATTTGTCTCATCCCCTCCTGTAGGTCGGCGCTGCTGGGCTTCGGGCAGCCCCCCAGGGACACCTTCTCCCCCCTTGTCATCTCCATCATGGCCGTGGCACTGGGCACCCCCATGGTGATGCTCCTGATGGGCAGCTGCGTGGTTCTCTTTGCCCAGAGGAAACGCTACTCTGAGTACGAGCCCATCAACTGAGTGGGACCCCAGGATCCTTCTTGTCGCCAGGAAATGACTGCGGCTGCTGCAGGGGCTCCAGTGCCTGCAATCTCCTCTCTGTCCTCTCCATCCCTGCAGTCCAGGCTCGGAGGGGACCAGGGCAACGTTTGCAGCAAATTGCCGGTCACATATCCCTGCCTCCTGCTCCCTCCTACTGCCCAGATCCTGCAGCTGATTACACTTCTTCCTCTGTTTATTCCTGATCCATTCAGCCAAGGGAAGTGACTGGGGGGAGTTGGTCAGGGTTGCCTTGAGCCGCAGAAAGATCCTCCTCCCAAGGGATAAAACCACTGTTGCCATGGCTGCGACTGTCCTGTGCCACTTCCAGAGCACTCTGGGGTTGCTTGGGTGGCTCCAACCCAGGAGCAGGGCTGGTGTACTGGTCCCCAGCCCTGTCCCGCTCCTGCCAGTGTGCAGGGTGCCTTGCTGCTTCTCGCTGTACTGGGGGCATCCCAGAATAGCCTGCCTCAACCCAGATGGGGCTCACGGGCTCCTCAATGCCCAACAGGCACTTTCTGCTGTGCTGGCCTCAGCGAGGGCTGCTGGTACAAGAGGGAAACCCAGCAGCACTTTGCAGCAGCAGCTTGAGCTCAGGTATGTCCTGTCAGCCCGTAAAGGGCTGATCGAGCCTTGCTCTCAGTTAACTGCAGCCATTTGCCCTGCGGGGCTGACTCGGAGGTGCTATCCAAGTGCTTGAAGCCATGGGGCAAGCGTGGTCTGTGGCTGCTCAGTGTTTGCAGAGGTACCGCATCACTTGAGGGGGTGTGCTGGGCACTGCGGAGTGTGCTGGGTTTTCGTGTTCTTCATCACTGACTTGCTTTTGACCAAATAAAGTGGATTTCTAAGAGCAGTTTCCTGAGGAACCACCACACTGCGGCCGAGCACGAGGAGAGCAGCTCTCGGGCCTTGCAGGAATTAAAGGGTGCTAGAGCTCAGCAGGAGCCAAGGTACGAAAACATGGCTCTGAGCAGAGGGAGGCTCCCTGCCCCTGGATTGAGTCATGCCCCACAGCAGCGTGTGGTGCTCTGGGATGGTTTTGCCTGTGAGCCGTGGGGTCACCGTGAGCCCAGGCTGTGCACCGTAACCCTGCTGAGAAGTGCATTTGAAAGTCGGACTGTTCCCGTTCTCTGACTTGGCTGGGCTGCAGTGGGTGAACTGCTCTCATGACACAGCATTTGGGGATGGGAGTGGGACAAGCCAAACACTTTGCAGATCTAGGGATGGAGGGGCTTTCCCTTTATTTGGTGGATTTTGAACTGTTCTGGGTAATGCGTGAGAATCAGAGAACTGAGACAATCAGACTTGCATGGGGCTGGACTCCCAGGGTCCCTTTGTGTCCGCAAAGGACTCTGAGGTGGGGCCCAGTGCCCTGAGGGCTGCAGGATGGGTGCCCGTCCTTGTGGGGGGATCAGCCATCCCCAGCCCTAGGCCGCAGCAAGCCTGGTGCCATCTCACTCATCCCGGCTTCTCCCCGGCTTCTCCCCACATCACTCCTTGGGGCAGGGCTCCCTCCTTCCTACCTGGCTGACTGGTTTGTGAACCAGGTGCTGAACCTCCACCAGGAGGAAGAGGAGGAGAGACAAGGTGGGCAGGACTGGCCACGCTGCCATGCAGGGACCCAGGATGCAGGGCTGGGGTGCTATTGCAGAGCTGGGAGATGGACAGATTAGGGAAATACCATTTTTCCCCTCTCAGAAACATAATTTTGGGGCTGGATGATGGCATCCCGTGGGAAAAGCAGCGATTTCTAAAGGAATTTAACCCACCCTCCCCAAACCAGCCATAGAGCTACTTGGTGAAGGGCTTTATTGAGCAAAGCCAGCTCCAGCAGGAGGTTAAGCAAATCCCACCCCAACCCATCCTCATGGAACAGGGCTCACTGGGTCTTGCTGTGGGCCCTGTTCGCCCTCCTGCAGGAAACTCGCAGTGCAGAGGCTTTTACAGCTTAACTCTATCAACCATGGGTGCCCAGCAAAACCTTGCCAGGTTCGGGCATGGAGCAGGGGCCCAGCCAGATCTGCCTGCACTCCTCCACCTTCAGGGCTCACAAGGCAGGGCAGTGAGGAGGGCTCAACCTGTCTGCATCGCAGGGTCTGGGTACCCCATCTCCCCGGGCCTCCCTCACCCCCAGTACCGGAGTTTGGCCCCACTGTCTTTGGAGCGGTCCTCGGGCTTTGGTGCTGCCACAGCAAGGAGGTTTTCGGGCTCCAGGACAAACATGCTGTACAGGTTCCAGAGTAGCATAGCCAGGAGGGGCAGGAAGGTCATGCTGAAGCCGAAGGCACGGAAGGAGCGCCCGATAGCGTACGACAGCCAGTAAATCAACCTGGAGAGGACAGAAGTGCGGGCTCAGTGACGGTGGTGCCCTGGAGCTGGCAGCCAGCTTCGCTCAGGGGTTCTGACCCCAGTGAAGGTTTACCAGACATGGCTGCTGCAGGAATAGAGCAACCCTTCCTCTGTGACAGCTTTCCTGGCTGTCGTTGGCCGGGTGAGGCACTGCTGGAGCGGGAGTTTGCACCAAGGCATGGTGTTTGCCAGCACTGACAGACCCCGTTTGCACCTTGGGTGCTGCTGCAGCCCACGTAGGGTAAAGGAGCCGCTTACCGGGAGATGGCAAAAAGCCCCGTGAGCAGGGGGATGAGCTTGAGGATCTCCTGTGGGAGGTAGGTGGCCAGTACAGCCATGTTGAAGAAGTAGAGGATGAAGAGGTGGATGGACTGGGAGACGTAGGTGCGGTGGATCTCCACCTCCCGCTGCAGCTCCCCGAAGGGCTCCAGTGCAGAGGAGCAGAGGCGGGAGATGCCGCTGACGATCATCCCTGGGGGGCAGAGAGAGGGGCTGAGCACCCACTGAAACTGCATTGGGGCCTGAGGGCTGGGGGAGGACCAGAGACAGCCGCAGCGGGTGAGAAGAGGGTGGGAAAACTCAGGCTGCTATTCCTGGCAGGAGCAATAGAGCTGCAAAGAGCTCGGCCCCAGTTCTACTCCCCACTCCCCACAGCCCCTGCTCCCCCGGGGCTAATGCAGCCCGGTGGTGGGGGCGAAGGGCTTTGTACACCAACCCCGTGACTCACCCAGAACGATGGGGAACGTGGCAAAGGCAGCACAGCGGAGTGTGTAGACCAGGCGGGCGCTGATGGTGGGCAGCAGCGGGGCATCAAAAGGCAGGAAGACGTAGGCCCCATAGATGAGGCAGGGGCAGAGGAGCAGGGCCCCCACCACCGAGGCCACGGCCTTGAGGTTGCCAGTGCTGCAGTCCGTGGCGCATGGGCACCGTGGCCCCTTGGTTGGTGGCTTGGCCACTCGTCCCTCAAAGCCCAGTGGGTCCCTGTAGCGTGAGGGGCTGAGGGGAAGGAAGACCTGCTTCTGGCAGAGGCTGTTGGGTCTGTCGGTGTGGGGGACGTAGCCCCCCGTGCCCTCCTCTCGGGGCCATGGGGCAAGTTGCTGCTTCTGCTTGCCAGGTGTCTGCTCAATGCACTGTGGGTCGATGGGCACAAAGATGTGGGCTGCCATCACAGGCAGCCCCGGGGCTTCCTCATCTTCAGCCTCAGCTGAGGGGCAGGTGAGAGCAGCCTCCTCAGGGTCTTCGTGGCCCCCTTCAGGAGTTGAGCGCCTCTTTGCCTCTGCAGGCTCCGGCTGGCCCTGGGCGCTGTGCTGGCACCGGTCCCATGGCAGGGTGGCGTCAGGGTCCCCTGGGTGTTCATCTGGGGCTGGTGGCACCTTGTCCAGGGGGGTAGCCAGGGCCACCTTCCCCAGCTCCAGCAAAGCCACCTCCTCAGAGGGCAGGATGGGGTCAGCGGCAGCCATGAGAGTCACTGGCTCAGGGGATACAGCTGGGGACTGGCAAGAAACTCTGCTGTGTTTTGGGGTGTCGAGAGGGGACTAGGTTCCCGTCCCTTCCGCTTTCACCCTGCACCAGGAGAAAGGAGACAGACAAAAACACAGCAGAAATGAGAGGTTTGGGGTCATGCTCACAGCCCCAGTTACAACGTGGGGTGTGAATCGGCAGCTGCCACCCCTGGAGTCCCCATCACCTGCCTGCCCTTCCACTACTAGGAGACAGTAGAGCCCAGCATCCAGATGCTCTCATGCCCTGCCAGTGCGCCCAGCCCATGGCAGTGGGGTCAGGGCATATGGTACCATGCGTGTGGGCACCATTGCCCAGAGCTGGGCGCCTGGTGAGCCCTGGGTGTGTGGGTCTGGCTGCAAAACGGGGCAGACTGGGAATTGCTTCCCCACGTGGCCAAACTTCGCAGGGTTTCTGGCTGGGCATGAGCCTTGTGACTCAGGGGCCTGGACACTGCCTGGCCGATGCAACTAGCTCCACCCGCAGCTCCGACCCATGCCAGCATCAGCCAAGCCCTGATACTCAGGGGGAGCCATCCAGGCCACATCTAGGAACCACAGCTAAAGCCAGGATGAGCCAGGTTTGCTGCCTCTTGTGGCTCAGACCGATCTGGGGCAGGCACAGGAGGCTGCTGGGTTCCACTTGCTATGGGGGAGCAGGAGATTCAGGCAGAAATCTCACATTTTTCCCTCTTTGCAGGGGATGCCTGTCTCTTAGCCCGTCCCAGGCATTGCTGGTTGTGGGCATGGGAGCCTCCTGCAAGGAAAATAACTCTCCCTTTCTTCCTTCTGGGCATATTCATCCCTGCACCCCCAGAAAGAGCCCTGGCTTGACCATAGGCATGGGGAAACTGAGGCACAGAGTGGCGCAGGGCTTCATCTGAGGTCCACACAAGACAGTATGGCTAAAATCCTGTGTCTTGCACGCCTCCGTCCCCCCTCTCCCAGCCCCACTCGCTCATCAGCCCATGGGACATGGGAGGAAGCTGGCACCAAGCTTCCCCTCGCTGAGAGACTTACTTGGAGAGAGGTGGGCGGCCATGGGGCTGGGGGTTACACCGCCGCGGCAGCTGTGCTGGGAGCCTCTGAAACGCTTCCACCGTCTCTCCGCCGTCTGGACTTCAAACCTGTTTAAACAGCTCAA